CCCCCAACCCCCACCCCACCCAACAACCCCCAATTTCTTCCTCTGGCCCCATCTCTTATTGCCTTCCTTTCCGCACGATGAGAAATCATTGCTTCCGCAGAGGTATCTCGCCATCAGATTTGGACAACTTCAGTACTAGTGTAGCCATTCCCTTATACTATAGGAGAAAAGGCATATGTAAATGTAAAAAGGCCTTCTTAATCATGCTAACCATCAGTGGTTTTTTTTAATCAAAACTACAGTCCTAGACTACTGGGTCTAAGGAGGGCAAAGGGTGCGAGTTCAAGAAGTGCTTATTGTTTTGTTTAAATCGCCTTCAACTTCGTAGGATCAAGTTTCAATCACCCAAAATCTATTTTTGTGGGAAAGTTTTTCAACTGCCAGTCTGATTTGGATTTTGAGTTAATGTTATTACAAAAAGAATATCCAACATATTATTGGTTCAAATAACTGCGGTACAGTGGGTTAACTATTAAAATCGAGAAAGCGACATTCTGAAAATAATGAAGCCACGACTGCAATTAGCAAAAATTGGCACAACAGTATATGCGTAGACGATTACAAATGATGTAGTGTGAAAAGTAGGATATGAAGAGAGCAAATGAATGACGTTTAAAAGTGGGTAAAGAGTTGTTGCCAGCCAATGTTCCCGCGTCAAACAACGTATAAAAATACCATTAAAATTGGGCCACCATCGTCAAGGTAGACAAAACGGTGATCGTGAAGTCCTCATGCGCTCCGCTAATTACGCGTTTACCATCATCTCGCCCATGTTGTGTGGCACTTTTGCAATTAGAGTGCAACTCTAGGTGTTTTATTTTACGGGATGTGCCTTTTTCACGACGAGCCACTACTGATTAGAGATGACCTCTTTTCCTAAATAGGGCCATTTTTCTCAATTAGGAGTTAGGACATTATCAAATTCCAATTGCATTTGCTTTAAATAAATCTTTGGTATAATTTTTCAAATTCAATTTTGTATATTTTGATAGGTAAATTGGACTAACTTTGTGTAGGATTAAAAGCGTTTGCATTCATTTTATTGAACACATTGGAGTCCCTTCAGGGATATCCGATAAAATTGAAACGATACAGAGAAGATTAACATGTCCTTGCGTAAGAATGACACGCATAAATCGAGAAATGGTCCAATTTTTTAGTGAACACACCGGCAGTTAAAAATAAATATCTTATGGTTTTAATTGAATTAATAAGTGTAATCAATTGTTAATACTTTACCGTTAAATCATAATAATCCAATTTGCTTTTAGCACTTTTTACTCCATGTCAAAGGCCCTTTATTACTTTCCCCTTTTTGGTGAATATCATTTTTCCTTTTTGAAAATCCGAGTCAGCACTAGATACAAGAATAACCTCCACAGTGCCAATAATATCTGATTTGCCCTTTCCGACACCCCACACCACGTTTGAGAAAATGAATCAAAATAGACGAAATTTTGCGTCTTCGTCTTAGCCTACAAAATATTTAAAAAGGCAAAAAAGGACAAAAACACGCCATTACAGAACATCCTGTAGTAAGGCAGACAGGGAAACTTTTCCCTGTAAAATTTTCCAAATCTTCTGCTTATTCCTATTTATTATTTAAAGCTATAAACAGATATTGAAGTGAAAAGAGAGCAAAAAAAAGCTTTAAATTGAAAGTAGAGAGCCGGCATTCGACTACAAGTTCCTTTATTTTACTTCCAGAGCTATTTAATTCTTCCATTTCAAGCTAAAGGGTACGAAATCCCATTCGTAGTTTCTGAAAAAGCTTCAAGCTTTGTGAAGACAGTTGCATAACACATTACAGATTTTGAAAATCTTTCAGATTTAGCGTTGGATTGTAAAGATTTGCGTAAACAAATTGGTTTTGCTGCAGCGATTCAGTTCTCTTGTAATTTTCAATTCTCAAAATGATGGCTTAGCATTTCTTATAAAGGTACAACCTGCTTTCCCTATAAGTCTTATAAAGGTCTTTACATTTTTGCAGTGACCAATGAAGTAAATGGATTTTGTTATTTATTTATGTATTTTAGTTGCTAATTGTTATTTACATCTGGGTTTTGGTAATCTATGAAAAGATTATTCTGGATCTGTTCATTTTGATCTCATTAATCTGATTATGAAACGTGATTGTGCTAGTTTTCTAGCTGTTTTGTGTACAATTGAGTTGAAGTTTGACTTCAGTTGAACTTCATGTAAAATTTGTGCATCTTTCTTATAGTTGCCAAGTTTGTGAAAAGAAAGAAAGCAAACATTTGGAATCCTAGTCTACCAATACTTCAAGACTTAAAAGCTCTGCTTTTTTAATCATTTCTCATCATTAGCATACTATATTTTCTTAATGCTTAGTGAATTATGATCTCCAGATGTCTACATCTGAGTATTTGGTTGTTGCCCCCGGATTGGAAGGATAACGATAGAGCATGTTGATAATGATATTTATCTATGAATTCGGAATTTGAACCAGGTTAATGTTTTCTCTCTTCAGGATCTGGCTTTAAATCCTAATTAGTCTTTGGAAATGGCATCAAAATCATTCAAAGCTAGTAGATCATCTGTGTCAAATTCCTCGGATTTGCCTGATTCGCAGCACGGCAAACCTCCACTTCCTCCACATGTGACTTTCCAGCGGCGGACTTCCTCAGGCCGATACGTTAACTACTCAAGGGATGATCTTGATAGTGAACTTAGCAGCAGTGACTATATGAACTATATGGTACATCTCCCTCCGACTCCTGACAATCAGCCCATGGATTCTATTTCTCAGAAGGTTGAAGAGCAGTATGTATCAAGTTCATTGTTCACGGGTGGTTTTAATTCTGTTACACGAGCTCATCTCATGGACAAGGTGATTGAATCAGAGGCAAATCATCCCCAAATGGCAGGTGCAAAAGGGTCGTCATGTGCTATCCCAGGATGTGATGCTAAAGTGATGAGTGATGAAAGAGGCATTGACATCGTTCCGTGTGAATGTGATTTCAAGATATGCAGAGACTGTTACCTGGATGCTGTCAAAACTGGTGATGGTATATGTCCGGGGTGTAAGGAGCAATATAAAGTCACCGATTGGGACGAAGCGAATGGAAATGATCGGCCGCTTCCTCTGCCTGCGCCAGCTGGGATGTCAAAGATGGAGAGAAGGTTGTCAATTATGAAATCAACTAAGTCGGCATTGATTAGGAGCCATACTGCAGATTTTGATCACAACCGTTGGCTGTTTGAAACAAGGGGCACATATGGGTATGGAAATGCTATATGGCCAAAAGAAGGTGGATTTGCAAATGGAAAAGATGATGATATTGTTGAGCCTACTGAACTGATGAACAAACCATGGAGGCCACTTACGCGCAAATTGAAAATTCCTGCTGCAATCCTAAGTCCTTACAGGTAAGAAGTTATTTCCGCTTTTACTCTTCAGAGTCCTTCTCTGCGTTGTTTTAGATTGATACTAATAGCTGTACGCTCTACTTAATCACCCTTTTTGGGGGTCTGAAGAATAACTAGCTGCTTGCTTGCTCTTCTACTTTTGCTTCATTTGTCCCTGACACGTAGTTTTCCATTGATTTCAGCTACCTTTTAATCGATCGATTAATTTCTAAGTTCTCCACTAAATTTTAAATGCGTGCACTTTTCTCGTATTACTACTGGTTTCTTTTGATTCGGTTATTTTATTATCTTGATGTTGTTACTGCTTCTTTTCCATGGCTTCTCCATTTCCGTATTTCTTTTCAACAATGTTGTAACTATGCTTTTCCTTAGCTGAGGGTCTATCGGAAACAATCTCTCTACCTTCATAAGG